AAGAAATCGCAAGGGGGCAGCTTGCTCATGCATCCTTGGAGGTGCTCTGGAAACAAGGGTAGGTGTTTTGGAAGCCCTCGAATCCTGGGAGGCATTTGGAGAGGGAGTGTTTCAAAGGCATCCCCAGAAATCAAAAGCTACAGGAGGCTAAATTGGCCAAAGCAGTCCAAGGGCTCCCTTTGCAGTTTCCACACCTCTCTATGCCACCTTCCCACAGTCTCAGTGGCTGTTTATCTCTGCTCTGGCCTGTCAGACAGGCGATCCATCATCTGTTGGACCACAACCCCCACAGCGGCAGTAGATCTGGATTCACCTGCCTCCTTTTCTCTGATACGGTGGTATGTGTTTGTGTGTGTGTGTGTGTGTGTGAATGCGCATGCACACATGCGTATTGTTGCTTGCCACTCCTGAGAGGGAAGCTTATTCTTTATTAAATGTGGCAGCAAGGATGGTATATCCCAGCCCTCCTAACAGGCAAAGTATTCCACATACAGACTCTCCTATTATCCAGGCTATTTTCTCTCCCCTCACCCCTGAGTTTTAAATCTATGAAGCCATCTAGCCTGGCTTGGTTTGAACAGCTGCAAAGCCCGTGACTCACCAAACCGAATGCAGCCCAGCAACCATGTTATTATCTTTCCCCCCCTCCCCTTGCTTGACCGCCGTCCCTGTTTTTGCACTCCTGAGCAGCCAGAAAGAGCAGGAGTTTTATTTGGACTGCAGTGTGCTGGTTATTGACTCAATTGGTTACAAGAAGGGATGGGAGAAGGAGGCAATTTCTGCCCTTCCTTGGTTTCTCTCAATCAGCGCTGTTTCCGTTCCCCCGCAGTTCAGCTTCCACGAAGATCTATGTGATTCATCTCGCTATGGCCAAAATCTACACCATCTAGTACAATCTTCTGCTTGCTGTGTGAGTTCCAGAGCAAAAATAAAAACATGAGAAGAGTCCGGCACATCAGGCCAATGACCCATCTAGTGAAGTGTCCGGTCTTTGCAGTGGCCAACTAGATGCCTATGGGAAACCCACAAGCAAGACCCGAGCACAAGAACCCTCACACATCCTGTGGCTTCTAGCAACATTATCACCTCTGACCAACCTGGTGGTAGCCATTGATAGCCTTATCGAAAATGAGCATTCTTCACAAATGGCTGTCCCACCACTACTCACAGAGAAACCACCACCCCTATAGGAAATGGGGTTCTATTATTAAGCTGAGGCATGAGGTTTCTCTTAATGTTCAACCAAACTAATACGCTGCCCTTTGGGGGCAACAGAGGGCAATCCTTTGCCTTCACCAGTGTGGCAGCCTTTCAGGTTAAACACCACCTTCCCCTCTGATGCTACCACTCTGATCAAATTTAGAGCCCTCTGTCACTGCTTTGTAAGTAAAAACAAAAATATTGGGAGAATCTGGACATGGAATATGCTATTTGGCCCTTAACCCCAGCTCAAATTAAACCCCAGTTGCTTGTTCATCAACCAGAACTTCATAATTTTATGGCTTCTGACAATTTTCTTGTATAAACTCCACATTGCTGTTACTGACAGCTATCAAATCACTGGGATATATATATATATATATATATATATATATATATATATATATATATATATATATATATATAATATATATATATATATATATATATATATATATATATATATATATATATATATATATATATATATATATATATATATATATATATATGTGTGTCCTTGTGTTCCTGGGTGGCTTCCTCCCACCCTCTGCCCTGACTTTTTGCATCTGATGTTCAGTGCGCCCACAGCTCTGTCATTGTTTCCTAATAAAGTAAGATAAAAAGTCATGGTTTCTTTTCGCTGAGCAGTTCTAACCACAAACAGCCCCCCTGAGACGCAAGAGGTTTGAACCATGAACTGTTATCACCAAGCTAGCGCGGGAACACTGGAGGGAAACAACTGGGAGGCTGATCGGGAGATAATTGCAAATCATCTTGTCAGGTGTCAATCCCTGCAGAACCAGAACTCGGCTCCCGAAAGAGAGGCCTCAGCTGTTCAGCTAAGCGCAGAAATTCCCCCTCCCCCCTCCGCCTCTTCCTTCAGGAGCCTTTTTCTCCCCACAGCACTTACTCCTTCCTACCAAGTTGACAAATGAATGCAAACATGGAAAAGAGCAAAATCCAGGGGCTGATTTAAGGCTGTGCAAGTGGTGCTCATGCACTGGGTGCTGAGCTGGTGGGGGGGAGATGGGACGCTATCTCAAAGACTGGTAAGCGAGGTGCTGGGCTTTGGGAAGTAGGCATGAGCACTTTGACATGGTCCTAGTTCCCTCCACCTCCTTCCCAGAACCTAGTTAGCACTTTCCCGTATTTAGGAGATGAGAGGGCTCTAGGACCAGCCAGAGCCCCTGCACCTCCTTCCCAAAGCCCAGAAGAGGGCGGAACAGAGGCAGAACAGGGTGGAGTGGGCTTATGCGCACTCTGCCGACCCAGGCCCCCCAGGAACGGAACCCCTATGCCAAATGTGCACATCCCCCCTAGCCTTTGTTCCCATCTCTTGACTGCAGAACTGCATTGCAAAATTCGGGAAAGTGTGAATTTTGATATTTGGGTTTGCTCTTTTGTTTCAGGAAGGGCAAATTTGATGGGTTCCCCTTTAAACGTGAACTAAATCAAATCTCTCCCTCATCCCAATGCTCAAGGGTGATGAGAGTTTTTGCAGAACAGCACCACCAGGTGGGCTGTACAGCATTGGCCACGCCTGCTGCAAACCTATACAAATTGCCATTTCCCACCTGTACCAGGTGAACACAACCCACTCATCACATGCCAGGGCCTGCCAGGGGACTTGACAACAGCTCCCCTCTCTCCCCTCCCCCCCCAATCCCAGGCAGGCAACCACACCACACGGTTTATCAAGCCCCCCGGGGGACGGGGGACTGTACGTGACTGATGGGCCGTGTTCTGCTTGGAGAGTTACAAATTAATCTGCGTTAAGCGACCATGAGTACGCGCCGTGGGTTTGTTTAATAAGATTGCCATTTGGAAGGTTAAAGCATGCGGTGCTGTCTAACTAATGAGACGCACAGCGAAGTTACATGGTGGGAGGGGGGAAGAGAAGCTGCCTTCTACTAGGTCAGGTGATCCGCCTGCCTATCTCAGAGCTCTGATTGGCCACAACTCCCCAGGATCTCAGGCAGAGAAGGGTCGTCACCATCACCTGCCACCTTGATCCTTTTCGCTGAGATTGAATTCGGGGCCTTCTGCAATCATTGCCTGTGCTGTCACACGGACTTTCGAGTGCCAGTCCCGTAATTCCTTTTCCTTTTTATTTATTTGCTTAAGCAGGAGAATTTGGAGGAGGGCAAAGAAAAATACGACTGCAGAACAGACTTTCTCATACTTGGGTCCTTACCACTGGTCCTGGTAGCTAGGGCTGATGGGAGTTGTAGTCCAATGACATCTGGGGACCTGAGTTTGAGAAAGGCTGCTGGAGAGTAATGACTGTCTTGCCAAATGGAAACAAGATCAAGAAGCTCAGCAGCCAGCCCTGATTGGAGAATTGGGATGCATCTCTGATGCAAGCTTATCCCAGTCTTATCATGCAAGATATTGGTTCCCACAGAGAATCCAGGGAACTGCAGGGTGCTGAAGGTTGCTGAGAATTACCTCCCCACTCACAATGGCTTGGACTGTGCCTGCAGCACAACCAATACTGAGTTTGCAGAATGGACAATACCACTTCAGATGGCAGGAGCGGGCATCATGTTTTAATGCTGCCAAAAAGTGGGGGGAAACATCCCTGCAAGTAGAAAACTAGCATATAAAGGGAGCAGGCCAAAGTTAGAACCTTTCTCCCCTCTGTGCCTAGGTCTTTTTTACTCCAAGTATTTTAAAGGGCCTTTTTGTCGTTGTACATGGAGGAGTATACAAACGCACACCCCCTACACCAGCAGTAGTTCAGTCCACATTATTACCACATTCCACCACGTGGGTACACCTCGCCAATTTTGCCCTGGGGAGAAGAAATGGCTTGTGCCAATAGGTCCTTAAGGAACACAGAAAGCTGCTTATGGCAGGTCAGGCTATTTGGACCCCTATCAGGAGCTCGGCCTGGTCTGAGGCAGCATCTTTCCCCTCCTCTGCCAACTGCTCCTTTCAACTTGGAGATGTAAGTGACTGAGCCTAGGATCTCCCTGTTGCAAAGCCGCTAAGCTGCGATTCCCCCTCCCAAACGTATTGGAGGGATATCGATGTTATGGATCTCTGGCCATGGCCAAGAAATGGGCAGAAGAATGACTTACTGTTTGTCGTCTTTGAACCACTGGAATTCTGCAGGTGGCACAGCCATGGCCTCACAGCGCAGAAGTGCATTCTTTCCCATTGGGATACGGGAGTCCTTTACATCTGTGATGGTTGGAGGGTCTAGGAAGAGACAACAGTTGATGTGGGAGGCATATATTAGTCACGATATGCGGTGTCTTAGCTATTCCTCAACAGATAGTCTCCAGTTGCCAACCTCTAGTAGAGATGCTTCCCCAAAGAATTCTGGGAACTGTAGTTTGTTAAGGGGGAAGGTTCTTAAGAAGGCCCTGTTCCCCTCCCAGAGCTGCAATGCCCAGAGTTCCCTGTGAACAGGGATCGATTGTTGAAGCACTCTTGGAATTGTAGCTCTGTGAGGAGAACAGAGGCCTCCTAACAACCCTCAGCACTCTTAACAAAGTACAATTCCCAGAATCCTCTGGGGGAAGCCATGCCGTTGAAAGTGGTATCATATCGCTGTAAATGTATGGTATGGACACGGCCTAAGTCAGGCTTGGGGAAAACACAACAGGGGAGCCTAAAGCTGTACAAGTTCCAAAAGTTCTTCTCTGGCTTGCAGAAAAATCTGAGTCAGAGAAGAATTCCCTGCTCCCCTATCATAACATTATAGGAAGTTGCCTTATACTGAGTCAGATCATTTGTCCACATGGTTCAGCACTGCCAACACTGACAGAAGGTCTCCAGGCTTTCTTACCCGGAGATGCCAGGGGTTGAATCTGGGACCTTCTGCAGGCAAAGCAGATGCTCTACCACAGAATGACAGACCTTCCCCTGGCATCTGGATCTGATTTCTTTCCGCAGGGCCTGTAAGACAGAGTTGTTCTGCCTGGCCTTTGGCTTGGAATCAGTATGATTCCCTTCCCTTCTTTCTTTTTTCCTTTCTTCTTCTGTGTTGGAACTCTTATTTAGGGACTTCCCTGGCTTTTTTCTGGCCCATGTAGGACCAGTCTGGATAGTTAGCCTTGGTGAAGACTTGACGTTTTTATCCCCCAAAAAGTTTTTGATTGAGTTTCCACTGAAATGAGGTTGCATTTTAATGTTTTAATGTTGCATTTTAATCTTGTTTTTTTAAGCTGTATTTCAGTCAATTGTTTTTATATTTGGTGTTAGCTGCCCTGAGCCCGGTCTTGGCTGGGGAGGGTGGGGTATAAATAAAATTTATCATCATCATCATCATCATCATCATCATCATTATTATCCTCCAAAAGAAGATGTCTTTGGAAGAACCACATCTCCCATAAACCCCTACACCATGGCACAATGTTTGCCTGTGCAAGGGAGTGATAGGAAGGAGGAAGGAAAACAAAACCCCCTCTTCTCTTCATTCCCTTTTGCTGCTTCTCCCACTATCACAGATTTAAGGGAAGGGAAGGGAAGACAATGACAACTGCATAAGATGTGCCTTTTCATAAAGGCCTCTGCTGAGAGAGAGAGAGAGAGAGAGAGAGAGAGAGAGGGGAAGTGGTGATCCTAAGCCTATGGCTCCAGTGCCCCAGAACTTGCCCCAACTTTCTTTAGCCTTTCAAGCCATCGATCCAAGAGCCTGGTCAATATTTATAAAGCCTTTGAGAATCTGGGCTCTGCACATCTTAAAGGCCATCTTTCCCCCACTGTTTAAAAACAGGCCTCCCTGCCAGCAGCCTGAAGTGCTATAGCCCAGCCTAACAACTCACAACTCCCTATTACTTCATTCCGCCATGTGTGTAAACCAGCCCTGAGCACCCATGTTGCCAAATAGGTTGTGAGAATTGGCCAGTGATGTCTCAGAAGGAAAAGGGTGATACTTAAACTCCTCCATCTCCTTCCCAGTTCAGGGCTAACAGAAACTTGGAGGTGATTTATATTAGGGACAAGATAGGGTGGGAAAGAGTTAAGTATCCCTCACCCAGGGCCACTTCTAATTTGGAACCCCCAGCAGTTGAATTATATCTATATGGATCAGGGGACTCATCTGTACACATCATTTAAAACATTATAAATGCGTTATTAAAATGTGATAGCAGGGGGTGCTGCAGAGCAGTGATCCGTTGCCATTGGGAAATTGCATTGAGAGCAATAGGACATTTTTTAAAAATAGCCTTTAATAACGTTTTTGCAGATCAGTGTAGATCCAGCCAGGATCTCTTACAAGAGATCCAGTCAATAATCTCATAGGTAATGTGTAGTTTAGCCAGGGGAGGAGTAGAAAAGACCATTATTAAGGGAGCAAAGGGCAGTCCCATGGTACATAAGATGTTAATACTCTGTGATTGAAAGCTGGGGAGGAGATGGGGAAGTGGGAGGCAGTGAAAACACTTGCAGCTTCACGCTCACCTTTGGAGTCATTCCTGCATTCCTGATTCCCAGTTAAGGGCTGGGTCTCAGCTAGGGTTGGAGGAGAAATTCAATTCTGTTTGTATTTCACTGAGAAGTCACCTAAGACCCACTTATCAAACCAAAACACAGCAAGCCTTTGAAATTCACACTTTCCCGAATTTTGTGATGCAGTTCTCCAACTAAACAAGACGTACAAGGGTAAAGGGAGAACCCTCCCCATAAAACTCCCCATATGCTCCATCACAAAAGTACTCCAGGCAAGTGTATGCACAGCATGTATGCACAAGAGTAAAGCATGCATATAAATGCATATAATTGTCAAAATAATATGCAAAAAATGTATTATATTGGGGAAAATCACTTTGTAAAAAATATATATGAAGGAAAAAATTGTACATGAAAAGTTTTGCATTAGAAATCTGTATTAAACATTCTGACGAATGTTTGTGAGGGTTTTAAAGAAACAAAACCACAAATTACTGCAAAAATGTAGAGGATTACATTTAAACAGCAATAAAACCTGATAACATCTTTGCAAAACTAAGCAGAGTCTGGTACGGTTTCAAATTGGATGTGGGACTGCATGTTGAGATTCCTGCATTGCAGGGGGTTGGATTAGATGTCCCTCAGGGTCCCTTGCAACTCAATGTTATGATAAGATTGGGTTGGGGGGGGGCAGAGGAAACTTAGAAAAGGGAAATAGACAGATCCGTCCATCCCTAACTTTATAGCTGAAGCTCCATGCCCCAGACATTGCAACCCTTGATCTGGCTGAAGGGGACAGAACTAGGAGGCAAATATGGGGACCACTTACAGTTGACAGTGATGAGGACCCGCTTGCTATCAGGTGTTGAGACTCCGTTCACTGTGATGCACTCGTACTCCCCAGCCTGCTGCCTGTTGATTTCCGTGATTTCCAGGTACTCCCCTTCACTGGTGAAGCCATCTGTTGGGGAGGGAGGAGGGGGGTGGTGGGGAGGGGGTCAGGGCCAGCAGTAGGGAGACAGACACAAACACAGACTTACACACAAGAAAACACATATGACAGCAACACTGTTATCCACACCTCAGACACGCAGGGGCTGCCTCGCACCAGGGCTGTGACAACAGCGCAGGGGGGTGTGGGTTAGAAGGGGGGGGGGGGACAAGCTTGCACAACCGGTGACCTACCAAGCCAAACACATCCCAGCAACTAAGGATGGCCTCTCTCCCAGGGGTTTGATAAATGGATGAGCTCCAACCACCCCTGTTCTCGTAGCAAGGCTGGCACCAGGAAGGAGGGGACCTTCAGAGTTCCCACCAGGCGTGCACCCGTCTGACACCAGCACCCCACAACCCAACCCCGGTTGGGATTACAGCAGGCTCCAGTGGCGAACAGCAAGACCATTTTGACATTCAAAGTGTTGGTGCTGACCTTTAAAGCCCTAAACAGCCTCGGTCCTCTATACCCGAAGGAGCATCTCCACCCCCATCGTTAAGCCCGGACACTGAGATCCAGCACCAAGGGCCTTCTGGCAGTTCCCTCATTGTGAGAAGTGAGGTTACAGGGAACCAGATAGAGGGCCTTCTCAGTAGTGGTGCCCGCCCTGTGGAACGCCCTCCCTTCAGCTGTGAAGGAAATAAGCCACTATCTTATCTTTAAAAGTCATCTGAAGGCAGCCCTGTTTAGGGAAGTTTTTAATATTTAATGCTGTCTTGTTTTTAACACTCGATTGGGAGCTGCCCAGAGTGGCTGGGGAAACTCAGCCAGATGGGCGGGGTATAAATAAATAATAATAATTATTATTATTATTATTATTATTATTATTAGGCCACAATGTAGGTGAGGCAGAGGTAAAGGACCCCTGGATGGTTAAGTTCAGTCAAAGGCAACTATGGGGTCTGTGGCGCTCATTTTGCTTTCAGACTGAGGGAGCCGGTGTTTGTCCACAGACAGCTTTCCAGGTCATGTGGCCAGCATGATTAAACTGCTTCTGGCGCAGCAGAACACTGTGACAGAAGCCAGAGTGCACGGAAACGCCGATTACCTTCCCACTGCAGTGATACCTATTTATCTACTTGCGCTGGCGTGCTTTCGAACTGCTAGGTTGGCAGGAGCTAGGACAGAGCAATGGGAGCTCACCCCATTGCAGGGATTTGACCTGCTGACCTTCTGAAGCTCAGTGGTTTAGACCACAGCACCACCTGCATAAGGCCCCAATGTAGGACCTCACCAGGGCTTTATGGGGACATCAATATGACAGCTTCTGAACTGCCTAACGTGGCCAGCCCCAGAGAGACAAGCAAGCAGAAGGGCAGGTAGGCAGCTACCAGCAATGTCAGGTTCTTTCCAAGGATGCTGAGTCCTGCTGCCATTTGTGTTTCCAAGGTCTGCCGCCTATTTTCTGGGAACTGTGTCCCTGGGGAAATCAGTGTTCCCATTTGCCCCTGATTTTATTTTCATCTTCCTGCCTTTGTAGAGATGTTTGGGAATGCCTTTGAAATATGTTTTTATTTATTTATTTATTTATTATTTACATTTATTAGCCAGCTGTTCAACTAGTCCTCTAGGCAATGCACAACATGAATTAAAACGTCAGATCAGATTAAATAACACACGCTTACACACACACACACACATCTCTATAAGGGTACAGATAAAATACCGTACCTGAAACCCTACCAAATTAGAGACTAAAATAGGAATCAATATTAGCTTTAAGGTACTGAAAGGCTTTTTTAAAAGTTTAAAAGCCTGGGAGGACACTAGGCATGAGCTAGGGTTTAGAGCAGTTTGTCACCCCTGTGCAGTTTGCAATACTGCTCATTCATCAAAACCAGGTGAGGATTTATTCCATCTTCCTGTGAGTCTGTATCTTAGGTTTCCCAGCAAGATTTAATTGCTGCTTGATTCTCCTCACTCCTCAAACACGTTTTAGGCAACTCGTCAAAACTCAAAATAAAATCTTAAAAATCCCAGTATCGTAAGTGTGAAAATCCCACACACCCCACAAGCTATGTGTGCTAAAGCATGGGGAGCAGCTTTGCCTAGGAGGTGGAGCTGTGCTTGCTGATAAACAAATCAAGGCTCTGCACGAAGAAAAAGAAGAAAAGCTGCCTTTTGCAGCTGGAATAATTAAGCACTGCCTTGTACAAGTCATGGGGAGGAGCGAGGGGGCTATGTTTAGCAGGGGATTAGATTCTCACTCTCTGCCACTGCAATATCTTTTCTGCCACAATTCTGGGTTTTCACTTGCCATGGAAGATACTCTTTCAAGCCCATTCTGCAATTTTAAGGAATGGAAAATTTGTTTGTTTGTTTACTTATTTTAAAAAAAGAAAGAAAGAGGAGGTGCTAATTTCTGTACCCAGTACCAAATTTCACCTGCTTAACAGATATACATGGGTACGAGTTTCATTTATTTGGGTCGAAACCTGCTTTGAGATGTAGGCAATCGTCGGCTCTGATTTTATT